TGAAGAAAGTCAAGACGAAGCTGAACATCCGGATCTTCAGCGGAAGCTCCGGCGAAACTTTTGAATTTCTGGACATCTTTCTCAAATCGATCAAAATGAAAGAAAGATGTTTCCGACCTGAGTCAGTGCAAGTATGAATGGAATTGGGACTAAACAAAATAAACAAGGGTTATTTAACCTAAACACTAATATGTATTAATTATATTTTTTTTATAATAAATTTATATTAAAAGTTAAAAATTAATATTAATTTTAATAATTATTGAATTAAATATTTTTATATGATACAATATTAGTAATGAAAATAAAATTAATAAATTTAATTTTTTATAATATAATTAATTATAAAAATATAATTATTATATTTCATACTCTCATCCTGTACTTCAAAAGTACATATTAAACCCATATAATAAAAAATTGTCGCTAAAAAGTGGCTATCAATTGGCCCTTGATGTTGAAATTGACCATGAACTACGGCCAAACTCCTCCCTGGACCAGTCTTAGGGCGACTTGTCTGTTGTCGGGATAATGTTGGACGCGTATGGTTCATTACCTCATCGGAAGAAGATATCCAGTGAAGCCTATCTTGTTTTCATGGCTTGGCTTGAAATTCTTGGCACAAAATTCAATAGGTTTGTAATGAGTGTAATTTTTTTTTTTTTATCAGCAAAACAAAGATAAATAATTTATTTGAGAGAGTACAAGGGTACTCCAACCCACATACAAAGTTAAACACCTATTATTGACAACCAGTTAGCCAAAAATAACAAAGCTGACCGGAACAGCAACTCCTAAATGCCTACATGAAGCACTCATAATACACCTTGATGTCGCTTTTGGAAACTCTTCAACACCCGCTTATACCGTTTAATAGCTAAGGCACAACCAATTGGATGCATTTGCCACTCGTACAAAGAAAATGCACATCCATCCACCTTATTTTTAATTCAAAAGAAAGACTTCATTTGTACCTTATCCAACAAACACCCCTGCATACTCCCACAATTCTTAAATACACAAGCATTCCTCCAATACCAAAGAAACCATGCAACAACAAGAAAAACACATGCACCAAACTCCTTCCCTATAATGCTACCCAAATCAAACAAGAAAAATTCTGCCACTCCCCTAATGGAATTCAACATAACAGTTTCAATACCCCACCAATTCAGCACCTTAACCCAAACTAACCAAGCTTCCCTGTAAGTACAAAATAAATGGTCAACCTCCTCCACCACCTCATGACACAAACCACAAAAAGATCCCTCTTGTTGCAACAACAAACCCCTTTTTTGTAAATTCCATTTTGTTAGCAGCCGATCAAGACATAACCTCCACCCAAAAAAACTAACTTTCAAAGGCACTAGCCTACACCAAATAAGCCTGCAAAATTGGGTATCAAGATGACGCTCCTCAGGTGATAAAAAGTCATAAGCTGTCCTCACCGAATATTTACCTCTTGGATCATGTACCCAAGTCCAAACATCCTTCCTACCTTTCTTTAAGTGTACACAACCCACAACCCCCCACAAAACCTCCTCCTCATCCTTTTCTCGCCCAATTCTCCCCCTTCTCCATGCCATATTCCACTGCCACCTATCCCCTTCCCATTGCCCCATATCACTAACCGAGCCTTCCTTATTCGCAGCCAAGGCATACAATCTGGGACATAAATCCCTTAAGGATTTATCTCCCACCCATTTCTCCCTCCAAAAACCCACCCTACTTCTGCACCCCACCTCCCATCTAAACCCATTCCCCAACATATTCCTCAGCCTAACTGATTCCCCCCAGTACTGATAATATCCTTCCACAGCTTCGACACTCTTAAATTATCAATGGCTGTTATATCCACCTCACACCGACCCTCGTAATATTTATCCCTCACTACCCGCTTCCACAAACTCCCCACTCCATCACCAAACCGAAACCACCACTTCCCTAATAATGCCCAATTTTTCCTTCGCAAATCCGACACTCCTAAACCTCCCTGCGCCTTATTGCCACAAACAATATCCCACTTAACCCATGGAATTTTCCTATTCAAATCAGCTCCACCCCACAGAAACCCCCTTTGGATTGAAACCAATTCAGAAACCACAGAACAAGGTAATAAAAATAAAGACATGTAAAAAATGGGTAAAGCAGAGAGTACCGAATTGAGCAAAGTGATGCGGCCACCAAAAGACAACGAGGCAGACTTCCAGACGGCAATTTTAGCACGAAACTTATTTACCACTGGTTCCCACAGTTTCTTGCTTCCAACTTTACAACCAACAGGGAGACCCAAATACAGAAAAGGTGTTTTCCCAACACCACACCGTAAAGAACAAGCCGTCCCATTCATCCACCTTGTCGACACATTAAAGCCATAAACACTGCTTTTACCAAAATTAATCCGCAACCCTAACATCAACTCAAACCATCGTAACACGGTTTTAACCATAAACACATTCTCCCCATCAGCTTTACCCAAAATCACTGTATCATCAGCAAACTGTAGCAAAGATACAACCAGACCCCTCTTCCCAATTTCAACACCCCTAAACAAGCCCTCCGACTCAGATTTACGAAGTAAACCATGTAAACCCTCACCAACCATCAAAAACAGAAAAGGAGACAATGGGTCCCCCTGCCGTAATCCTTTTCCAATCTCAAACTCCTCGGTCGGACTACCATTAACTAAGACTGAAACCTTTGCGGTTGATAAGCACTCCATAATCCATCCTCTCCACCTAGACCCAAACCCAAACCTTTCCATCATCCAATCCAAGAATGCCCAATCAACACAATCATATGCTTTCGCAAAATCAGCTTTGAAAACAAAAGCCTTTTGTTTGCTCTTCTTAATTTCATCCACAACTTCATTTAAAGCTAACACACTATCTGTCAATTGACGACCCCCCAAAAAAGCAGATTGAGTCTCACTAATTATCTCCGACATCACAACTTTGAGTCTATTAGCTAACACCTTAGCCAAAAGCTTATATACACACCCAATTAGACTAATAGGATGATTATCCTTCAAATCTGTATGATTTTTATTTTTTGATTTTTTTATATATTTATTTAATTTTTTAACTTTAAAAATTACACAATTTTAATTTTTTTTTTATCAATGTCATCTGTTAACCCAATACATGTAGTATTTTCTTTATTTGTTTTAATGACATGCATAATATAACTAAGAAAAAATATTTACTTATAGTAAAACTTATGCCATCTCATGTTTCTACTTATAAAATAATTAATGAGTTGACCTTATTTCAATACTTAATTAAATCAATTACTACTAAATATCGTCCATCATCGAAATTTGATTAACAGCAAATCATCTTTTTAGTTCTCAATCCAACACTGCAATAAAATTTCGAACAATTCAAACTCAAAGAACAACACTCTGTTTGGTTTCCAAGAAAATGCAGTAGAATAACAAAAAATCAACTTTAAGCACATCAAAATTAACCCAAAAAAATTTAGGTATCAAAATCTAAAATCTGAGTTTGAATGAACCCAAAAATTTTGGGTTCAAACGAATGCTGAATTTGTGTCCGTTTGAACTTAGTTTTGCTAGGCTCTCAGCGCATTCTTGCTTGCATTTCCACCAAATAAACTTGCAAAAAAATTAATTCAATGCAACAAATTCATATACAAGATCTCAATAAATCCAAAAAAAAAAAATCTTAAAAGAAAAACAAAATCATCCAAATTCTTCACAAACAAAAAAAGAGATCTAAAGAAAGAAATTATAATATTGTTTACACATATTTTTGCAAATTATTTAAAAAGAGTGTTGTGTCCCATTTATTTTGAATTGAAAGGGATCAAGAGTTAGCAGTTGCAATCTTATTTTTAAATTAGTTTGGAATTCTTCTACTTCAAGCTTTCAAGATCTCTGCGATTGTTGAGCACCATTCGTTTTTTATTTCAAAGATCTATTTCAAAATATTAAGATGAGGAAAAATCAAAATTTTGTAGTATTAAAAATGTTAAAATATTTAGTAATAATTATAAGATAAATATGATAAAATTAAAATTTATATTATATTTTGTATATTTAATAATTATGATTAAATATTTTAATATTTTTAATATTAAAATATATTAATTTTACCATTTCTATAAAAAAAATTCCTTTTTATTGTTACAATCAATTATAATTAATTGTAACCCATTAAAATTTGCTTGGCTTTTCCTTAGATATTCGTTTTCCCAAGAAAGTCAAGAACCCGAGGCACCCTGATGTGCGATTGCTTTCCATCCAATAGTGGGGGTATAAACAAAACCTCTATCTGAATACCTGTGTTTGACTTTGATAGATTTGGTTTTTT